TATTATGTCCAGGATATTTTTTTTCTGGTCATGACTTTCGGGTAATTTAGTAGTTCTCAAATTATCTCTTCTGGAACTATTTTCAAGGTCAGATGTTTTTCTATGCCATACTTTACATTTTCTTCATTTTTTCAGTCTTTCAACTCTGTTTTAATATTTCTTATCGCCTGATGGAGTCAGTGGCTTCTATGTGGTTCATTCTATTTTCAGGGAGTCTGTTGCTTTGCCAAGGTTTTGTACTTCTGGTGCCAAACTTTTTAATTCCCTATTCAATTTTTTCTCCTGTAGCTCTCATTTCTTTCTCACTTTTCCTTCAGCCTTCTCATTCCATTTATAAAAAATATTTTCTATTTTTTAAAAAGTTTTTGTTTCATCCCTTTCAGGAATTATAGCTAAATTTGTGCCCAATCTGTGTTTTCCTATGAGGCTTTGCTTGAAGATTCTCTTCTTCTTGAGTGTCTCAGTCACCACAATAGATTTTTATGGTGGGGTTTTTTTTTTGTTTGCTCATTCTTCTAGCCTGCCTCTTGACTTCTAGACTTGATGTTAGGGCAGAACTCTGTGGAACTACTAGAGAGAATGGGCTGATCTTGTTACTGCTTTCTTGGGGATGTTAAGAGTTATGTCATTCTGGGACCTCCGGGACAAGTTGGGAACCTGTGAGCTTTCAGTGCTCCTGGTCTGATCCAGGGCAAAGTGTACTGATTGCTGACCCACTAATCTGAGTTCTGCAAGTTCATGACCCGGGTTTGGGTCTGAGCACCAGCAGGTGCTGCTGGACTTGGTCCCTCTCAGCTAGCTGGGAAGCTCTGCTGGTTCAGAGCAACAACTTCAGGATTCCCTTTGCCTTGGGATTCCTGCCTTGGGCTAGAAGCTGGAAGTGAGAAGGCCCCCTTTTCCCTGGAGTCAGGACTACACTGCTGCTCTTCTCTCTGTCCACTTCCTAGAGCCTAGCACTGCTCCTTAGCCAAGAACAGAGGGCCGCCTCTGGGTGCAGATCCCCTCCTCAGTCTACCTGTGTCTGTGACCTGGAAGGGACAGTGAGTGACCAAACCGCCAGTAGGCACCTGTTCCCAGCTCAGGGCCCCAGGGTGGGTCTGGCACCTCCTCCTGCACAGCATCTCTTTGTGCTACAGGGCTCCCCATGACCACTCTCCGCTAGACCTGGCCCCTGTGCCTGAAGACCTCTGCCTCTCAGTGCCCATCTGGGCTGGACAAGTGGCTTCCTGTGACTTTTTCTTAGATTTCCCCATCAGGATTTGGTCTGATGCTTCCTTCCTAGTATGGCTATGCGAGAGACTTCTCCACTCAGCCTCAGTTTCCTCATTGGCCAATCAGTCAATAAGGAAAAGAGCTGAGCTTCCTGCCTCCCAAGGGGATTGTCATGACATGGATTTGTGAACTGTTAAAAGAAAAGGGAATGGTGGATGGAGGCAGAGTACCTGCATTCTAATGCTGCCTCTGCTCTTAATCCCTGTGGAAACTTGGGCAAGTCACTTGGCACTTCTGGGCCTCAGTTTCCCTATCTCTAAAATAGGAGGATTGGCCTCAAAGCTCCCCAAGGCCTTTGATTTTATGATTAACACTGGAGAGTTGTGGGGTAGGGGTGTGGGTTGTTAGCTGGAGAGCAGCCAGCTGCTGGTTCAACCGGCAGAGTCAGAATTCCTCAGGCCTCCTGGGTACTCCTTCCCAGGTCAAGCATTCCCAGTGTGGAGTTCCTTGAGCACTAGGTGAGCACCCAGAGGATGATGGGACCAGGCATAGGCAGGAAAGGGCAGAGATTAGTTACAAGTCGAGTCCTAACAGGCAGGGCTCTCAGAGGACCAGGTCAGACTCCAGGCACCCTTTGACCTGAGATGCCTGAGCATGAAGGGTCCAGACAGGTTCCAAACACAGCCTCCAGCCTGTGAGGGAAGCCAAGAAGGAAAAGGCCACCTGTGACGGTCATTCATTGTTCCAAGGTCTCTCATTAACCAAGCTGCCTTTCCAGTCAGTCACCCACTTCGCAGACAAGTTGTTGGCTGGCTATCTCTCTGCTCTACACTTCTCACAGCAAACACCCTCCCTAGCCTCAGGCCCAGGCCCTAGGGAGCCGGGAGACTTCTTAGCTTGGGGATGAGGACATCAGGGTTTGCAAATGGTAGGTCCAAGTCACTCTCCACCTGGCTTATGATTCTTAGAATGTTCAAACAGAGAGGAGAATCTAGAACCTAGAATGGGGTAGCTTGGAGGGACCTTGGAGATCTCCTTGCCCACACACCTAACATGCAGGTGAGGGTCCTTCCAGCAGGAGTGACTTGGGTGCTTTCCAGGGAAATCCAGCTTCTGGGATGGTCATCACACTGAGCCTTCCTGCTGCTGTTCCTGAGTTCCACCATGTTCCATTTGTTTCCTACAACACATCTTCACTTTACAAAGGTGGAAACTGAGGTCCAGAAAGGCAAAGTGCCCATATTTCCTCCATGGTTAACAAATCCCCTCCTGGTCATCCCCAAGAACAAAGGATAAACCACAACCTTCTCCCATCCCATTGATTCTGATCCCCCAGCTGTCATCATTCAAACCCCTCTGAATGTCTCCTGAGATGGATCCTCCTTGTGATCATGCTCTTTAACCATAGGTGCCCCCATGTCCAGGCCTTCTCTTCTCCTTCCTTCACTTGGTGATATCATCAGCTCCCATACATTTAATTACCATCTCTATAATAACTCTCAAATTCACTTACCTAGCCTCTTTCCTGACCTGTCTCCCACCTCCCCCTACCTATAGGTCACCTTGATCTGGATGTATCATGGACGACTTTCACTTACCACGGCCCAAGCTGACTTCATGTTCTTTCCCCCACCCCCCCCCTTTGGGCTGACTCACCCACCTGGTGGGATGGGGAATCAGGAAGGAGGCAGCCCCTGGGCTTAGCCTTGAGCGGGCTTTTTTTTAAACAAACATCGTTATCATATTCTGATTGATGTCTTTGTTTTTACATCTCATTCATTTCTGAATATATCTCCTCCCTCCCTCCTACACAATGACCTTCTCTTGTAACCAATACTTTATTTTTAAAAAAATGATTTATTTATTTTTAGTTTTCAACATTCACTTCCATAAGCTTTTGAGTTATAAATTTTTTCCCCTTCCCTCCCTCCCTTCCTGCCTTCCTTCCCAAGATGGCTTGCAATCTGAGAGAGGCTCTACATATACATTCCTATTAAACATATTCTCACATTTGTCATGTAACCAATACCTTTTAAAAGAGAAATAGGTTCAGATGTTGTACCAGACACTTTTCTTATACGACCTGGGTTCAAATCCCACCTGGGAAACATATATCCTTAGTGACTTTGGGCAAGTAATTTGATTTCCCCAGTCCTCAGTTTCCCCTTCTGTAAAATGAAGGAGTTTAAACTAATGGAAGTTCCTTCTGGCTCCACATGTATGAGTCCATGACCCACATAGAACTTTTTCTTCTATGGATTCCAGGTGCAGTTCTCTATTTGACACCCCCACTCACTCTGGGGTAACTTCAGGGCCTTGGGGAGGCCTCCCTCCCCACTCTCCAAATGCACTCCTACCCCCAGCTCCTATAGCTCCATTCTCTGGCACCCCCAGAGTCCAAACCTAAGCATTCAGATGGTAAAATGCCAGAGTCCCAGGGAGGGGTGACTTTGGAAACTTTTTCCTCCCCCCACAAATACTTGTATCACCAACTCACTCTGCCAGAGGGTTGAGGACACAGAGGGGTCTGAGACCCTGCCCCACAGGGCCTGAGGGGTTTGTGATTTAGTTGGGGAGATCAGCAGGAGACCTGCTCAGGAAGTTAACCTAATACTAAGCCCCCAGGGATAATCGACTGGGACAGGTGCACCCCAGGACAGATGGCACCAGAAGGCTTCCAAAAGGAAGGTCTAGGAAGAGCTGAAGAAGGTCTGCACACACCTCAGTGTGAGGGTAGGACCTCTGGGTCAGGGGACCTTGGGAATCTGCGGGCAGAAAAGAGCCTGGGAGAGGAAAGGAGGGAAAGGCAGAGCAGAAAGCTCATCTGCCTCAAGGGGCCCTCTAGCCACTTAATGTGGCATCCGCAAGAGGGCAAATTGTAAATTCCTGCTCTGGGGCCCCATTGCCTCCCCATCTACTAAATCAAAGTGGGGTGCGAAAGGTCCCTTCCAGGGCACTGATTTTGGAGGGGAGAGAACCTGGATTCAAAGCCCACCTTGGACACTTACTACTTGTGTGATCGTGGGGGGCCTCAGTTTCTTCATCGAGGGACTCGAACTAGCTAGTCTCCGGGGTTTCTTCCGACCCTAAGCCTGTGATCCTCTACAAGGCCAGGAGGGGGGTGGACCTGGGCCGCAAGGCCCTAGTAGTGCTGCCTATGTCTTCCTTCTTTCCCCCTTTGGGGGCTGAGTAAGTGGGAGCGGAGCCCGAGGCTCCAGAGGGAAAGGGACTAGGGATAGGGCCAGCCTGTGGAGCGGCTGCGGCTGAAGACCACGAAGGTGGAGGGGGCGGGTGGGAAGAGAGACAGTCACGGGGCTATCCCCTCCTGGGGAAGGCTTGGCCTCCCAAGGGTCCTCATGGCCTACGGGCTGGGGAGAGAGGCCGGCCCTTGGTTTCTGTCTCCCTGCCTCTGCAGATGCTTCGCACCTGCTGCTGCGACCAGTCAGAAGCTCGGGGACCAGGCTTCTAGCCCTCGGAAGCGGCTGGGGGTCGGAGCAAAGATGTTCCGAAGACTTTCAATGGGGACCGTGGGTTGGGGGCAAGGAGGCCAGGGGCCTACGAAGCAGGTGTCGCTGTTTACGTGTTTACGAGCGCCCAGAGCGTGGGTGGGGGGGAAGGGGTGGAGGATGGGGATTAAGGGTCCCTGGGGAGCGCGGGGTTCCAGGGGGCGCCCTTGGGCTATGGCTCGGGGCCCCCAAGCCGGGCACGGAGAGGGGCGGGGCAGGGAGCAGGGGGGTGTATAGGTTGCAGCCTCTTGAGTGAGGAGGGGCGGGGAGACAGCCCGAACCCCGCCCCGGGCGGCGGGCATGGGCAGCTCCCGCCTCCCTGGCTCAGTTGATGCCTCCCCTCGGGAGTGGGAGCCCAGTCTCCAGGGCAGCGGCGGTGGCGGCAGCTCTTGAAGCCGGGAGCGGAGAGCGCCGCCCTCCTTCCTTCCTCCCTCCCGTCCCCTCCTCTTCTCCAGTCCCTTCCCGTCCCCTCCAGTCCCGTCCCGTCCCTTCCGAGCCGCCGCCGTCCAGTGTCCCGCGGCTGGCCGCTGCCGCCCTTCGCTCCAGAGCCGACCCCATGGCGTCCTCCGCCGGGTCCCCGCAGCAGTCAGAGCGAAGGCTCTGGGGTTGGGGCCGTCGGGCCAGCGGGCCCCTGGGACTCAACCTCAGCCCCAAGGCCTCCTTCCCCTCGGAGCTCGCCGAGGTGAACCCGGTGGCCGGAGCGCTCTACGCGCCTATCCCCGCGCCAGGGCCCGGCCCTCCCCCTGCGGCAGCGCAGGGGCCCCGGGGTACCCCGGCCCCGCCATCACCGTCGCCATCCCCGCCGCCCACCGTGAACCTGGAGCCGCGCATGTCCATCTACAGCGTGTGGCGGCCGCTGCTCACCCGCACCCACATCCAGGGACGTGTCTACAACTTCCTCGAGAGACCGACGGGCTGGAAGTGCTTCCTGTACCACTTCACGGTGTAAGTGTACGCGCCGCCCTCTCTGCGTCCCGCACAGGACAGGGGACTGTCCCAGCTCTCTTGCCCTGGCCTGGCTCCTGCCTGGGGCCACCGTTGAGCTGGCCAGGGAGGGCTGCTGGGCATCGTGTGGGACTCTGGCACCTGGGATGTGGGCCCTTCGTGTCTGTCTTTGGCCAGCGGCACCTCCCCCCACCTGGGGCAAGACTGCAGCTCCTGAGAGCCCAGCACCTGCCCCAGGCTTGGTGGGGGCCGGTGAGGAGGAAGGGGGCGCTCAACCGGCCCCTTCTCCCCGTGGGAGACCCAGACCGCTGGGCTCTCCCTGCCATGCTGGTCCCTGGTTCCCAGGAGCCAGCCTGCCCAGGATGCCTGTACAAACGGCCAGGGAATAGTGGTTCTTGAAGGGGGTGGGGGTGGGGCTAGGACTGAACAGGAGGAAGGGCTCTGATTGCATTGGTGCTGTCTCCTAGCCCCATTTTGGGGTCTTGTGCCTTTCCTTCATTCAGCCTCCTAGAAGCAGCCACAGAAAAGTGGCCTTGGCCTTGACTAAGGAAAGGAGGGAGGGAATTGTGCCTGGTTTCATTTGGGAGTTCAAGGAGTGAGCTGTCTACCCACGCATCCACCCACCCATCCACCCACCCATCCACCCCATCCACCCATCTACCCATCCATCCATCCATGCATCCATGCATTCTCTCCCTCCTGGTGGTGGTGTCCATTCCTTGGCCCCTTGCTTGCAGCAATCTTTTTTTCTCTTTCTTTGTCTGTTCTTGGGAATCTGGGGATATTCTGAGTGTAGGTGAAAAACCCAAAACCCAGAGACACCTGCTCACTAGGGAGAACAGAAAGTTCCCACTGGAATTGCCCCAGGCACATTCTCTGGGAGATTATTCCTAGTGAGGGGTGGGGAGTCTCTCTGAGAAGAAAGTTGGGGGTAGAATGGTTTGGAGAGAGTAATCAGTTTTCCTGTCAAGGCACTGGACAGGGATGGTGCTGGTAATTAGGGTGGGGTTAGATGCTCTGGGGTCAGGTTTGTTTTGTCCACTTTGGGAAGAGGTGGAATGACTAGGATGCCAGACTTAGAATCAGCAAGATCAAGGTTTGAAATCTCTCACCAGATACTTGCTAAGCTGTGTGATCCTGGCAAATCACCTAGCTTCTCAGCCTCAGTTTCTTAATCTGTAAAATGGAGATAATAACACTAACCTCTTCCCCTCCTGTCTCTCCTCACCTCCTCCTCCTCTCCCTCTAACAGGGGAGGCCAGTGCCTTGTGATCTTCTAGTTCTTGGTGCATGAATGAGGGCCCCGGCCCAAATGCAGGTCTAGGGTGGGCCCCACGCTGACTTACCCTGTGGGCTCCTCAAAGGTAATGCAGGTGCCCAGGCTTTAGCTGGGCCCATTATACCCAAACCTGGATTGACATAAAATCGAAGTCATTGGTGACATCCTCTGATCACAAGGTTTAGAAGGGACATTAGCTCACATCTAAACCCACCCCTATATCTTACAGAGGAGGAAACTGAGGCCCAGAGAGGGGAAGAGCTCTGGTCTGGGTCACACATGGCTAGAAAGTGGCATCTTTAAATTTCCAGCCCTGTCTCTCTGGCTCCCCCCCTCCCCCACTGCACCTTACCCAGGGATGGGATACAATGACAAGTTACTCCAAGTTCACAGAGGGGTCCCTTTCACTGTGTGTGTGTGTGTGTGTGTGTGTGTGTGTGTGTGTGTGTGTGTGAAAGAGAGCGAGCGAGAGCGCTTGCAGGTGCTCTGCACATCCATGAGAGTAGTGAGTTGTTTGCATTCAGCAGAAGTTGACTAAGCCCCTACTGGGTGCAAAACGCTGACCCAAGCAGCTCCAGCCTAGAGGGGAATCACTGTGTGGAAGCAGGAAAGGGGGTGAACAAGATCAGTGAACAAGCATTTATGAAGCGCCTGCTGTATCCCAAGCTCTGTGCTAACACCAAGTCCCCAAACAGTTCCTGTACTCAAGGAGCTTATATTTCATTGGGGGAGACAAGAGCTATAGACTGGAGCCTGGCAGATAAATGGAGGAGATGGAGGGTCAGCTGACAAAGGATGACCCTAGCAGCTGGGGGCTTCCTGGAGTAGGAGCGCTTGGGCTGGCTTTCAAAGGAAGCCAGGGATTGTACCAGGCAGTCAGTACAATGTAGGGAGAGCGTTCCAGGTCTAGGGAACAGCCCAGACAAAGGGCCAGGGCCAGTGAGGGGCCAGCCTGTACTGGGTATGGGGAAGGGAGGCAGGAAGGAACCAGGTCGTGAAGGGCTTTGAATGCAAAACAGAACCTTTTATATTGATTTTGGAAGTAATAGGGAGCCACTGGGGGTTCTTGAGGTTGACATGACTAGTTTTATGCCATTGGCAGTTGTATTTGAGAGGGGAAGAGTGGAAGAAAGGAGGCTTATTGGAAGGCTATTGACATAGTCCAGGTAAGAGGAGAGGAGGTGACCTTGTGAGTGGACAGAATGGGATGGATGTGAGAGATACTGGGAAGAAGGAAATTGCAAGATTTGTCAGCAGAGTGGATAGGTGGGGATGAGAGAGAAGAGTCGGGAATGACCCTGTGGTTGGGAAGCTGGCTGAGGGAGGATGGCAGTGCCCTTGAGAGTGATGGAGAAGTTTGGGAGAGGGAAGAGTTGGGGGGAGGAGGTAATGAGCTCAGGTTTTGATGTGTTGATTTTGAGATGAGATGTCCCAAGGGCAGTGGGTGATGAGGAGCTTAGGAGAGAAACATGGTCTATGGTCTTTGGTCTGTGAGCCAGGAATCATTGATCCCCTGTGATCTTATGAGCTCAGCCAATTGATGTCATCCAGAGGGAAAGAAGGAGAGGGTCCAGGCCAGAGTCTGGGGGCACCCAGGGCTAGTAGGAGTGACCTGGAGGAAGCTAAGAGACTAGTGGCTGTTGTTGCCATGTGGCATTCCATTCAGATTTGCAAAGCTTTTGATAGAAACCTATCACAAAAGAACCCTGTGAGCAGTTGCTTTTATTCCCAGTGGAAAGATGAGGAAACCGATGATCAGAAAGGTTGAGGGACTGCCCAGAGTCACATCCAGGTAAGTGTCAAAGGCAAATTTGAACCCACACCCTCCTGACTCCCAGTTCAGCACAATGATATCATTCTGAGAAGTAAAGGAACCAGATGCCCTTTCTGTAGGGGGCTTACAGTCCTGTTTTGGGGGGGTCTATTGAGAAGGACACAAAGAAGTGTAATAGAGAACAGTCCTTGCTCTCAGGAGGCTTACAGTCTGGGGGATGTGAAAGGTGGACACTGAAACCACAGCCCCGCCTAAGTTGGCTGCAAGGTAGAATGTGCTGGTGAGATAAGCAGAAATTCCGATGAGAGGTGAGAGAAAGGCCATTCCTAGCCTGGGGTGGCAGGTGGGGATGGAGGGGAAAGGGGCAGGTTCTGTGATCCCTGAGTCAGTCATTGTGTTGTGGGGCTCAGGGGAGCTGACTCGATGATACCCAAGGAAGATAGAGGCTGGGATCGCAGGGGCTGCTCAGCTTCCCAGGTGGGGCGCACTGTCTGATCGGGGGTTTCGGGGGCATCATCTGGAGTCCCCTAGCCTCAGGCTCCTTACACAAGCTTCCTAATTCTGAAAGATGGGCAGGTCCAAAACGCTGGGGAGGTTTTCCCTGGGAGGACTTGAGCATGGAAGGATGTTCTGGGCTTTTGGCTGGGCAAGCCTTTATTTGCGTGTCTCCCCTCTGTCTTCTTGTAGTTTTAAAGATTTTACTGATGGCGTCTGCTCACATCACTAACCCTCCAGTGTCTCGAACCTTCTGGAACAAGGACAGCTAATTAAAGCCAGTGGATGCCCCATTCCCAGACCCCCGGCCACCACTTCCCTCTGGGCTAGAAGGAAGTATGCCGGCACATGGGGCTTCTGGGCTTGGTGGCACCGGTAAGCCAAGGCTGGTGTCTTGCTGGGACGTTAGTCTTTCATTACTGTAGAAGCTGCGTCTGTTTGGCTGACTTCTCTGCCTTTGTTCCGCCCTGTCTTCTCCTCGTTTCTCGTGGCCAGTGAGTGATTCCCACGAGGTTTCTCTTCTCCGCTGCAGGCAGCCCTTTCCCAGTGGATTTTGCAGCTGTCCCCAGAAGTGCTAGGACGGACAGTTTCTGGTGAATGGGCCTTTCCTCACCCCTGCCTTTGGCTTCCTTGGGGTTCATGCTCTGTAATGGAGTCCCCAGATCAAAGGCCAAGCTGGTCGCTTTACAGTTTAGGATGTTGCTACCTGAAGAGGGCAAGGGACCCACCCAAGGTCACACCATCAGTAAGTAAATGGCAGGGCTGGGATTCCAAGCCAGGTGCTGTGACTTTTGCCTCAGGGCTCCTCCCAGGGCATCCTGGACTGCCAGAAGCTGAGAGGTCAGTTCAAGCCTCCTTGGGGAGAGCCTTACAGACAGAAGGGCCAAGCTCTCCCCTCAGCCCTCTTCCCCCATCCCAGAACACAGCAGAGGCAGAGGCCTTGCTGCTCTCTTTCGGGCCCCTGTCCTGTTTTAACTCAAGGAGAAAGTGATTTCTGGGGGCCGAATGTGCCTGCAGAGTGTTACAGCCAGATCCTTCCATTTTAGAAAGGGGAAAACGGAGACCCCGAGAGGAGAGGGACAGGCCATTGCCACTCTGCCTGTGACTCTGGCATGGCCTGGCCCACATGGCCCCTCTCCTCCGTCTAGGGTCAGCCCCCAACGCTTTCCTCTGTAGTTGTGGAATATTAAAGAATCCGAGGGAGCTATCGATCCAGTGCCTTCGCTTTACAGGTCAGGAAACTGAGGCTCTGACAAGTGTCATGGCTTGCCTGAGGTCACCCAGGGAGGGAGAGTGAGCCAAGCAGGGGGTGAGCCCGCCTCCTCTATGGGCTCTTTCATTTCCTCCTGCGGCGTCCAGGGTCTGCACAGAATCAGGAGACGTCTGGGGAGGCGAGAGGGGGTAGAAGGACCCGGCTGTGGGAAGTGAGAAGTGAGAAGGGCAGGAGCCCTG